CCCCAAAACCCCAAAACCCCAAAACCCCTGATAGTAAGCAGAGTAAAGAATTGATCTTAAAATATTATAAATTGGAATAATAAATAATTAAAAATGTTGAAGAAGGTAGTTCAATAAACTTTTGCTAAATCATCTCAAAACTCACTCTTCGCTGCTCTTCCTCAGAGATCTATGCTCTATTTCAATGAGCGCAACTATAAGGTAAATCATCATCCTTACTAAGTCTATTCACGGAAATTTTGATCAATTTCAATTTCTAGAATTATTTAACTAATTGTTTAGGTTCCAGAGAATTTAAGCGACATGGTGTCCTACCTTGATAAAGCGAGACCAACCTTCACTCTGCTTTATTTCACTGCTGCGTGGAACCCAGTCATCAAGAAGATTGAAAAGGACTACGAAAGAACCACTGGCTTGTACAAATAATTCGACCACATCAGAGTTGACTGTGATAGAACTCCCCCTGTTAAGTTTTACTTTGATGCTAGAGTTGAACCTCAATTCCTCATTCTCCTTAATGGTGCTGAGCTCAGAAGAGTTGTAGGCTTTAACTTCGAAAGACTTCACTCATATCTTGATGAGACAATTGATCTTCATCGTAATCAATTAAATTACATTGGAGACACTGGAAACACCTGGGAGAGGTTCTACGACAACTACGATAGATTCGCTAAAACTGGAGACTACGATAAAGATGCCTTCAGAGTTCACTACGAAGGTATAAGTGATACCTGGAGAGGTGCTGGCACTCAAAATCCATGAGGACAGGATACATATATCGGTTATTTGTCTTATGATCTGTTCTCAAACGGATTATACATTCTTTATTTAAATAACTTTTAAATTCTCAAATTCGATGATATAAGTAATCTCTAATTAATCCTTAATATCACTCATTTTCAACTTATCATTTACAGCATTAAGAGCTTATAGATTAATTACACTCTTATAAATCACCTGTCTAGCTCCACGACTTGTTTCTGCTTATGTGCTCGTCTCTGGCTATAGTTCTGCTTCATCGATTCCTAATAGCATTTGATCTTGTACACATCCCACTCTCTAAATTTGTCTTTTATCTTTTAAACATTCTTTAGCATATAAGGCCTATCTGGCTCGAAAACATTCATCAGTTTATTCCAAATATGCTTCTGAGTGTGCTCAGGGAAGAACTCCAAAAGTTATTAGTCTATGAGATAGACCTCTACTGAACTTGAATTTGCAATCTAAAAGTTATTTATTTTGAATAATATACAACTGAGAGCATAGATGATCTGTCATTCTTTATGATCTTCTGAGTGGTCATCGAATATCTCCTCTTGATAAATAAATGCTCAAAATCACCTCCAAGTACTAGCTTCATGTTACTTTCATTGGTGCTCTTTGGCTGATGACCTCCAGCAAACCAAGCTCCTCTTCTTTTGTTTTCTTAGGGTGCTGATTTGGTTCCTCTCTCATCCTCAGTCTCCTTCTTATTTTGAACGGGTAGAAGTACTCTTCCGCCGAAATATGACTTAGGAAGTAAATGAAAGAATATCATCTAAAATAGATATAAGGTGTAATTAGACTTACCAAATCTTTATAAACAGTAAAGTCTTTCATTCTTCGTCCTTTGTCATCCACCAGAATCTGCTCGTTCTGATAGCCTTTATGATTTGTGTTAACTTAAGCCAAGGAATCAGAGTAGTACTTCATATCTGCTTAGCTTGTAGTACCCTTTATCATCATTTGCTTTAGATTCTTTGACTTCAGCTGTTCTTTGTCTAATATCATTTAGGATGAATTTGTTGGGTTAGTTTTCACATTAGGATTCATAGGCCTCAGTCTACTGTATTCACTAGGTTGATTTGCTCTCATCGCTAGTTTCTCTGCGCAAACGATGCATTACCCCTCAGTCACAATGATTAGCCCATCTGGCAAATCACCAGCTTTCACTATGTACTCTCCGTGCTTATATTTCTTTACCTTGATGTTGCTTGCCAAAGGTAATAATATGTACATGTCAATGTCAGCAAATATGTCCAGCTATCTGAGGAAATTTATTCTCTCCTCGTATTTATTTTATAAGTCAGGCGAGTTTATGATTCTAGATGCTATCTTCTTGTTTAGCTATAGCATATATGTAGGATACTCAAGTGCTTTAGTTGTCACTCTTTATTTATTTAACTCATCTACAATTTCCTAGGTAAGACTTTCGGAAACTTCGAAATGGGCGAGCTCACCTATGTAATCTCCATCATAGCATATGCGAGTGTTCACTGGTACATTTCCTAATTCCTCTTTAATTACTCTCACACAGACACTTCCTTTGACTATGACAAAAAAGTCTTCACTTGGGTCGCCTTAGTTGAATATCGTTTCTCCTTTATCAAATCTCCTGAGAATCGATAAGTCGAATAACTGCTGCCTGATGTCAGGTGGGAACTTAATAAAGAACTTGAGAGATCCAAGCCCTTTATGCAGCACCTTATTGTCCCTCTGACTCACAGGTAGTTGGAACTATTCAATAACTTACTCTATCTGTTGCAGATTGAATCTCCTTAAAAGTTTAGCTTGCTTCGGATTATCCTCATTATCTGTGGTTGACAGAGATTCAATTAGCTTTGATGACTGTGACATCTGCAGATTTTACCCTGTAGCTTCAAGCATGTGATTCATCTGGGCTGCCATAGCTTTAGTCTTATCAAGATTAAGCTCAATCTTAGCTGGATCATTAAAAGTCTTTTCGATGTACTGTCGAATGTGTCCTATCTTACCCTTCATCTTGTCAAGTTCCTTGATATCCTACTCAGTGCGTTTCTAAAGAGAGTTGACAATGGCGTCTTTTTCAGATATTTCTAGAAATTACATAAAGTAGTCCTTGTTTCTCTATTAATTCTCTCTTTCGAGCTTTTTATAAAAAGAGTCATCTGCACTCAAGAGTTCCTACTCTATCCTGTGTCTTTTCTCTCTTATTTCTAGTTCCTTGTCAGTGATTGAGTCATTAAGCGGATCTATTTCAAATCCAAGCAGCACCTTGTCTAACCTTACTTGTTTCTTCTCATCTATGTAGAAGTCCTAAGGTCTCATGATTATATTCTCCTCCACTTCTTGTTTTTATTCCTCAGTGCGGTCAGTCCTTTGCATAAGAAAGTTCTTCAACTCGTCATTATCAGTTTACGATGCCTGCAAGGAATTTATTGTTGAGAATATAGCATTTTTTGTGATTTTCTCTTGTATTGAAGATATGTCATAAGTTTTTAACTTTTACTGAAATAATTTATCATCCCTTTTATTTACAATTTGCTCGTTCTGATAGGTTACGAACTAAGCGATTGCACCCTATGGTTTGTCTACATTGAATAGAAAATTATTTTTTTGTGTAAAGTAAAAGTTGCTCTGGACTCTATTTAACTTTGGTGGTTTTTATTAGAGACTTTTTTGTTTTGCTGTAAGATAATCATCAATATTTCTATTGACATTAATGTTGAACTGTTCTGGGAACTATTTCTTAACCTATTATTTAGAAATTAACCCCAAATCTCTCTTAATCTATCTATGTTCAGCCTCATAGTTATCTAATGTTTTCATTATGCTTTCAGCATCTAAACTGAACAAATCATTCTTAGACTCTTGCTGGCAGTTCTCTTCTGAATCGTCTGGTACTCTATGCTCATTAAACATCTGATTTTCTTCTTCAAGTGTTTCAAGTCTATCTGTTAAACCCACTAGGATTCTCTGCGATTAGGATTTAGGTAGTTTAGCTGTTATTGGCCTTATCCTTAGTTTAATATCTTCTTGCCTGTGCCTGCTCTCTAATGCTTAGTCTTCGTACCTTATAACATCTTAGTTTTAGCCATTAGCTTTATAATTTTGATTACTACTAGATTGTGCTACACTGTGGCTATTCCTCTGAGCAGTGAACTCAGTGAAATTAGCTTCTTCATTTTTACTTGATTTTTCTCTGTCAATGCTTTATTCATTAGAATTCATCTATGACTATTACTGAGACATTCTGCTAGTTTTTCTCTTTACATGAGACTTAAACTCATAAGCCACTGTGAAACTTTTTGAAGCATCAACTATTCTATTTCCTCTTAAGCAGGCTACACCTCGCATCTGATAAATCTCAAAGAGATATTAGTCATCTGGTATGTAGTTAGCTTTCTGCATTTATATTTTTTCCTGATAGCTTATGGTGTTATCCCCTTTTTATGCCTTATCGTATCGAGCTTTTCTTTCGTTATAATCATTAATGTAACTGTCTATGGTATAGATTGCTTAGCTGTACATTCCATTTTGGATTTCACATATAGCTTTATTGTAGCAGATTCTTTTATCCAGAGGATCTTCTCTTAGGATTAATCTATAGATATTAAGGGCCTCTTTAAACAATCCAAGTTTAAAGAGAATTACTGCTTTGTTAAACTTGCAATTATAAGAAGATTCAGGATATTCTCTGATTCCATCTTCATAAGCATTAAGAGCTCCTTAATGATCTTTCATTTGTTATAGCTTAAAGCCTTTTACAAAATGAAAATCACTTCCTTGCTTTGTGTACTAATTGGGAATATCAGACATAGGAACTATCATCAATTTTAATCTCAGAGGATCAAAGAACTACTCTATTTCTTGAACCTTGAATCTTTGAAACCCATGTGATACTAGATCTACCTTTGGCCCGTACTTTGCAGTGAGTCTTCTTAATCTCAGACCTGTAGAATGAATCATTGACTCTTCCTCTTATCTTTTATTTTCTATTTCAACTATTGACTTATTACTTCCACCGACTGTTCTTTTAGTATTGATCAAGGATCCAAAGTTATCATCTTCTATCTATTCGGTAAGGTTAAATTTAGTCATCGTCTTCTCAATTTCTTATTAGTTCTCTTAGTACTGCTGATTTTGATAGTCATGTAAAACCAAATTTAGATACTCAGATAGTTCAACAATCTTTTGTTTTCTGCTTCCAAACACTGGCTTCGAGTTTCGAGTATCATCTTGAATTGTCCTCTCCATCTTATCGTAATCAAATTTACTCTGGTAATGTAGTTCCTCAATATGCATTGGCCTTATCATTTCTTGTTCATCCTCTTATTCCAACTAGTTATTTACATCTGCATTTTTAATACTTGAGGGTTGTGAACTTTGCCTTTTACTGGGAATTTTATTAAGAGCAGCTGTTTAAGGTCTTCCTCTACTTACCTTGGGCTTAACTGGCTTGTATACTTTCATATGAGCTCCCTTATATAAAAGATTTGGCTCCATCTTTTTCTGATACTCTAACTCAAATTACTTTTGCATGTCCAAATCTTCTTAGTCCTCAAATATAAATTAGCTCTCTGTTAATGTAGGAGCCTCTTCAGTTTAAATCTATTGCTCTAAAGCATTTTCACTAGTAGGTATCTCCACAATATCTTTGTTCAAATCATCTCTGTGCTCTTTTATCTTTAAAGGACTTTAGATTTTCTTTCCGGTGATTACATAACTCGCTATTCCAAATGATTTTTCCTAGTTTTTTTAAAAGAACTTCTGATACTCTTATGCTTTCAAGCTTAATTAGCTTTAAGATTATTTTAAAGTCTTAATATTTTCATTCTTTTAGCCATAGTTAGACTGTTATGACATCAAAATTGAATTTTGTATATTATTTCTAATTGATGGAGTATTAATAGTTTTTGCTGAGTCCAATCAGAGATGAGATATAGTGTATTATGAGGTGTTTTTTGCTTAGTTCATCGTATACTTAGTTGAAGCAGATTAAAGTCGATTTTAAACCCTATTTTTGGACATATTATCCATGCTTAGATGCTCTTTTAGTTTTTTGTCTGAGCTTTCTTTATGATTCCTACCTATTTGTGATTGATACTGACTACTTATGATTGAATCACGTTTTAAAGTCTCTTGGAGTTTCTGCATTTATTTATATTTATCATGCAAGTCAATGTCAATCTATATGTTCTTCTCTGTACTTCTTGGTCTATTATTGAATCTTTAAATGATTTCCTCAACATCATCAAGGTGTTTATCTATTGATATTACATCAGTAGTAAAGACCTTAGCCTCATAGTTTATCTGTCTAGTTGGGTTTCCTAAGTAAGACGATTTTGGCCTCATTGTTGAGCCTTTCAATTAGCTTGTTGGACACTTGAATTCAATTTCTTTCTGAGGTGAATTTCTATCTGCTTCATTAATAGGTAAAGAAGTTTTTAAGTGGGAATATTCTATAGGCTGCTACTAAAGATTTTTAGTGTTTCTATTAGGTCTGAAAGCAGTGAGAGGCCTTGAGCTCTAGCCAAAATTGAGATTAATTTTCATTTCAACTTTAAGAATAAATTATTGACTCTTTTAAATAATTATTGTTCAGACTTAATTCATAACTCTGGGGTTTTGGGGTTTTGGGGTTTTGGGG